ATCTATGCATTTTATTGCACATTAATTATACATCAATTAAAAATACATAAGATAAAACTTCTTTAGTTTACATAAGGTGGTAACAGTTCTTAAGCTTTTAGCATATTAGAGATAGAAAATAAAATATTAGCATATTTTAGCATATTAGAAAACTCTAGAAGAACTTAAGAAAAAACAATTACCTCCTTCTAATTCCTTACTCCAAATATGGTCCACAGAACAGGACAATCAGCATCACCAAGGAGCATGTTAGAAATTCTGATCTCAAGCCCCATCCCAGATCTACAGAGTCAGAAAGTATACTTTAACAAGATCCCCAAATGATTTCTGTGCATATTAAAACTTGAGAAGCTCTGATAACCTATTTACCAGAAGAGTTATGGTAGAAATCCAAAAAGCTCTACTTTTAAAAAGCTCCACAGATATATAACAAAGGTAGAGAGAGAATCACAATATAAGTACTGTGCTTTGAGGGTGAAGAGATGGAAAGTTTTTTCTTCAAGACTATTAGTTTGCATAGCAAAAAATCCTAATAAACAGCAGTTACTCACCATCTTTAGTAGTGTTTCATTACGTAACTGCTTCTCTTCTACCTGTATCTGTAGGTGCATTTTAGCCACCCTGACATTCATAGTTGTACAATCTACTAGGCAGAACATGCATATGCATATTATGTATATCTATTTCATCCCAGTTCTACTCAGATTATCTGATTCCATCTGAAGAAAGACGACAGATAGAAAACTCTAATCCAGGGCGCCTGGGTGGCTCAGTTGGTTAAGCGACTGCCTTCGGCTCAGGTCATGATCCTGGAGTCCCTGGATCGAGTCCCGCATCGGGCTCCCTGCTCGGCAGGGAGTCTGCTTCTCCCTCTGACCCTCCCCCCTCTCATGTGCTTGCTCTCTCTCATTCTCTCTCTCTCAAATAAATAAATAAAATCTTTAAAAAAAAAAAAGAAAACTCTAATCCAGATCTTGCCAGTGGGGAATTACAAAGAGATTTTAAAATATCATTAGATGCCAGACGTCCAAAAAACAGAGGATCTCATTGATAGGCTATGTTTAAGCACAATTTTAACAAAGTATGAGGTTAAATATGAAAAAGGTTCCAAACAGTTAATGTAAATATTACCTTATCCCCAGAGATGCAACAGAAGGAAGAAGGGTTATGTAATAATAACAGATTTCAATTTGTGTGGTTTGTTCAAAGTGACAGTTTGTTAAAAGATTCCTCACTGATAAAAGAGCAAGTAGTGGGATTCACTTTCAAATCAAATAATTCAGGAATAGAGGTATGTGAGGAGTTGTGAGATATTACAACCAAGGGATTAATGCCAAACACCTGAAATAGATTATGAATCACCTATACTTTTGTAGGCTATCTAGGTATTACTTACAATGACAGGAGAAATTCTGAAATCTCCCTCTCTAAGCTAAGAAGCTAAGAACCTCGAAAAATATTCTGATAAGTGAATGTAAAAATGGCCCAAATTGGGTAAACCTGGGGAAATGAGGGTAAAAGAAGATATACCACAGGATCTAAAACATGAGGCTAAATGTGCTGTGGCAATAGAATGGATCATCTCCACTAAAGGATATTCAGGTATAAGCGGGATGATTCAAATGATCTCTAGCAACATAACAGTCTGAGATGCAACCTGATGTCTTCTGGCTCAAGGATTTTAGACTGTGGTTCTCCGCCATATTTGACTATAACATGGGGAGCTTTTTCAAAAAGCATCTACATTTCCAACCCTATCAAAATTCTTATATGTGCAGTGATGAGATGGCAATAATGTAACAAAAAACATGAATTTGCCCTCTCACTGAAGTGATTCAGATACAAACTACTTCCATATGTATGCTCTTAAACATCAAATAGCCACTTTGTGGGCACATTGAATTAAACCAAATTTTGGCCTAGAGAGACAAGTTTATTTTAGATTGCAATACTGCCACAAGTTAATGATTTCCTGAGGATTCAAGGGCTGAAGAATCTAACTTATAGAAACCCTAAAAAAATTATATGTTATATTACAAGATATCTGAACATACTGCACTTGATGTAATGGGAGAGAAAAAGCAGCTTTGGCATTATACCAATATTTATATTTCTATATTATTCTAAGCTTGAATTGTTGGCCTCATTTATGTGGGTTTTTTTGGGTTATTATTCATTTTTTTAAATCATGAACTATTTCAAGCATGTGGAAAAATATAAAGAATAATTACTGGACAGCTGTGTAACTACCATCTGGCTTTCTCAAGCCTTTACATTATTCCTATCCATTTGGCATTTAATCTCTAAAAATAAAATGTGCAAAAGTTGAAAACAGAGAAAATGAGGGGAAAATCCCCTTAAAACCTTTTCATTTTCAAAAGCCACTATAACTTTTAGACACAAATTTATAATATATTTATATATGATTATTTACTAGCTTTCTGACATCTTGGGAGTTTTTGTTTTGATTTTCTTGCCAATATATGAAAACCAAAGTGCTCTTTTAAAAAGAGAGTACAGTAACATCATTAAGTACAATAATTTATTTTTAACATTTAAGATTATTTAACATTATTAACTTTTCTATTTTATAACACTTCTAACAACTGTCTTTACTTCTCTAGTCATATCAGAATACAGTAATGTCCTTTTAGATTTAGTTTTCTTTCTTTAGGTCATCTGTCTTTGCTGTAATAATCTCAATATTCTTTAGTGTCAGATTTTTCATGTGTTTTTGAACAATGGGAAAATGAAAACAGAAATCTGGTCATATTTACAGGTCTAACATGTATGGATGTCTATAGAGTACTACAAAAAACTAATTCCATACTAGGTAATTTTACGTTTATACTGCTAGGCTGAACATCTGACTGGTAGCTCATTTTTCAAGATCAAATAAATCAACTCTGAATAATAACAAGAGCAGATACAAATATTAATAAATGACAACAAAATTCCCCTACCCTGCTATTTCAGTCAAATTTTTCTACCAGTTATATTCTTAAGAGAGCCTCTCCTTTAAAGAACTGTTTAGGTGGAGAAGAAAAATAATATTAAATCATTCATTCAGTAAACTCTTACCAAGCACTTACTATGAAGTGCTGGGCTTAGGCACTGTGTTAGGTCGTCAGGTTAAAATGCAGTCTCTGACTGAAAGTGACTCAGGGGCTATTCAGAGGTTACTTCTAGGTTTATGACTCCACCCACCATCTATAGAAAATATTTCCTTTGAGTCTCCTACATGCCAATCACTATATTAGGTAATGGAGATAAACTAATAAACAAAACATAGTCACTGCTCTCATGAAGCTTCCATTACAATGAGGGGAGACAAACAAGCAAATAAAAGCATGTGTCAAGTGGTTTAAAAAAAAAAAAAAACCACAAGCGCTACTAAGAAAAATAAGAGTAAAAGGACAAAAGGGCAGTAATTCTACATAGTGTAATGATATTCATATCCATGTTGAAAATACATCTAACGAGCAAACCTTTTATTTATGTTCCCAATTAACTGATATCTTTTATAGCACCAATCACCTTCATATCACCAAATTAAACAGGATTTTCTCACTCTTCATTTTTCTTCTATTCTTCCAGGCATCTGACACTGCTCACCACCTCCAGTTTGAAACTCTAATGGCTTACATAACAAATCTCCTATCCAGATTCTTATCTGGACTCTTATCTGGGGTGGCATCAATATGAACTGTACAATGACAACAAGGATTTAATTAAGATGATCACCTATCCAACCATGGCAAATAGGTTTTAACTGATGTGAAACTGGAAAGCACCCTGAGAAAAGATTTAACTTTATTCTTATTTTCCAATAGGTTTTAGAAGACTATATAACAATATGACCTTTACTCAAAGCACTGGTGAGTAACAACATCAAAAACACCTGTATACACTTAGTAACGTATAGAATTGTTGAATCACTATAATGTATACCTAAAACTAACATAACACTGTATGTTAATTATACTGGGGAAAAAAACACACTTGTACTGCATGTTACATGTTATACAACCCTGTCAAATTTTATTTACTTCATTTAATCCTCTAAAGTGATAATATACTATGAGGCAGGTAGTATTTACATGTTAAAACATTTTAAATTTTGCTAAGCATAATGATCACATGTGAGGATTTAAGAGAAAATGGTTTTAAATCTCAATAGGGAAGACAAAGACTCTAAGCTTAATCCATTCAAAAATTATATTTCAGGGGCGCCTAGGTGGCTCAGTTGTTAAGCTCCTGCCTTCGGCTCAGGTCATGATCCCAGGGTCCTGGGATCAAGCCCCGCATCGGGTTCCCTGCTCAGCGGGAAGCCTGCTTCTCCCTCTCCCACTCCCTCCCCCTCTGCTTGCGTTTCCTCTTTGACTGTGTCTCTGTCAAATAAATAAATAAAAATCTTTAAAAAAAAAATTGTATTTCATACTATAGCAAAATACAGCTAGAAGGTTCTGACCTATAAATATTCCTTAAGCAATCTATTTAATCTATTAAAAACAAGATCCTAACTTTTCAGAATGACATCATTAAAATTAAACCTATGTACTTATCCTTCTTTACTTTTTCATTATTTGAAAAATGCTTAAAAGTATAATGAAAAACATAACCATCTGTAATCCCAATATTCTAAAATAACATCTACTAATATTTTGGTATATTTAAGATTTCTTTCAGCCCATCCCTGTTGATTTTAATAATTTAAAATTGCTTCATACTATCAAGCATATTGATATTCTCTAAAAAAAAGAGTTTGCTTTTTATTTAAAAAATTAAAAAGTAAACAGGAATAGGGGACCAAACTGATCAATATTATTGTGAAATCAAGTCAAACAATTTTTATAATATTTTACATTCTAATTTCAGAGTAACGAGTGAAAAAAAAAAACAAAATGAAATACACGTATTCAATAAATACTTACTCTAACTACCACATGCAAAGTGACAGGAACAAAAGATTATGTACTTAAAGAAGATTAAATTCTCACCTGTTCAATCTCTTTGGTTTTTGATGCTATTGCTTTAGAGCGACTGTTTAGTTGACTGTCTTCAAATAATTCTATGCCATCTGTTGCATTTGACTCAGGTTCCTCTGGCTGCTCAATAAACAATGGTGCTGTGGATCCTGCCTTTAAGAAAAATCAGAAATCTTTAATTACATATAGCACTTAAGATGACGGTGTATAGGCACTAATTGGCACAATATATCAAGAGAAAGTGCTAAATTCAACCAGTTTTAAGAAAACACTTTCAATTTCGCCAGGCATAATGAGCGTATGTGAGGAGGACCAAAGAGGAAATGACTGCTACTTTTTAAATTTTAGGTAAGACGAAGCGTCTAAGCTTATACCATTCCAAAATTATATTTCACACTATATTAAGATACAGCTAGAAGGTTTTGTCCAATAACTATTCCTTAAGCAATCTATTTAAGAAACACTGAAGAGAAAAAGCCTAATTGGAAGTGAAAGGTATGGGCACACATAAGCATATTAAAAAAAGAACATGGAAAAGGGCTCTACTTTCAGAAGTTAAAAATACCTTGCTCCTGTAGCATAAAAATTTATTGAAATCACTGAAAAGAAAAATCCCCAAAGCAATAATAATCACTTCTATTTCACAGCAACCATTCATTAAATACATAATCCCACAAAAAGCTCACAGCTGACTACTGTACTTTCCAAAAACGCTTTTGTGGAAGAGATAAAACTAAAAAAAAAAATGAGGGAAAACAATTATTTAACTATACTCATTTGTTTATTCAAAAATTTACTGTGGGGACGCCTGGGTGGCTCAGTTGGTTATGCATCTGACTTCGGATCAGGTCATGATCTCAGGGTCCTGGGATGGGGCCCTGTGTCAGGCTCTCTGCTCAGTGGGGAGTCTGCTTCTCCCTCTCCCACTCCCCCCCTGCTTGTGTTCCCTCTCTTGCTGTGTCTCTCTCAAATAAATAAATAAATAAATAAATAAATAAAATGGTTTAAAAAAATTCACTGTGTGACATTTATAGCAGCATTATCTAATGCTAGCCAAATTTTGGAAACAGCCCAAGTGCCCATCGACTAACTAATAGATAAGGAAGATGTGGTGTGTACATGCACACACACACACAGGAATATTACTCAGCCATCAAAAAGAATGAAGTATTCCCATATGCAACGACATGGATGGAGCTAGAGTGTATTATGCTAAGTGAAATAAGTCAAGCAGAGAAAGACAAATGCCATATGATTTCACTCATATGTAGAATTTAAGAAACAAAACAAATGAGCAAAGGGGAAAAAAAAGAGAAACCAAGAAGAAGACTCTTAACTATAGAGAACAAACTGATGGTTACCAGAGGGGAGGAGGTGAGTGGAGTAATGGGTTAAACAAGTAAGGGAGATTAAGGAGGGCATTTGTTGTGGTGAGGACTAGGTGTTGTATTGAAGTACTGAATTATTATATTGTACACCTGAAACTAATATTACATTGTAGGTTAATTAGCTGGAATTTGAATAAAAACTAAAAAAAATTTACTGTGTAACAGAGAGAGGAAGATGGCATCATAGTAGGAGGACCCTAGGCTTATCTCAACCCACAAATTCAACTAGGTAACTATCATCCTAAATACTCCAAAAATCAACATGAAGATTAGCAGAACAAACTCCACAATTAAAGGTAGAGAAAAGGCCATCCTGAAGAAAGTAGGAAGGGCAGAGACATGGCTTGCGAGAGAAAAAATGGATGGTGACTGCTGCGGGAGTGGAGAAGGGTGAGAGACAGACTAACACCCAAGGGAGTGCCGGGAGAAAATGAATCCTGCAGAGCAATTGGCTTGGAAAGTGAGAGGGGATGAATTCCACTGAGTTCTTACAACTAGTGGGGCCTAAAACCTGGAATTCTAAAGGTCAGTGGGCTTAGCTCAGGGAAAGCCAGGAGGCATTGGGGCTGCTCTTGAAGAGAAGGCAGGGCAAACAGCCCTCATACATACAGAGTAAAAACAGTGATCTGAAGAGTACCTGGGGCACACAATGGGGAGGTTATTCCCACATCTTGGGAGTGTGTCCCAGAGAGGCAGTGTTCACAGAGAGAACCCTCCAGGAACAAAGGAACATGCAGCCACCATTTCCTTCTCCAGCCCCTCAACATAAGCACAGAGCCAGCCACCTGTGGGAACCAGTGCAGTGTCAACACTCCCTATTTAACTTGCTTACACCAAGGCCCAATCCCCTCCACCCCCCAACACACACACACTCTGGTGGAACTGCCCTTTCTAGTCACCCTTGCCTCAGTTCCAGCATGGCACCCTTGCCATTAAACTGGCCCAAACCTTTGCCCACATCCTGTCTCCCGACCCCCGAGTTTTGCAGAGCTCATTTCTGGCTGCAGTGGTGACAGGTCTCATTTCACAAGCACACCAGAGCACATCAGGTTAAAACACACCACATTCAGGCCAGGAATTAAACATTGCCCACAAGAGGCAAAGAGAGCCTCTGCAGAGGACTGGCCTGAAGAATAAAGAGGCCAGGAAAAAACAGCGTAGCACACACAGCACACACTGGAGAGGCTCCTGGAAGCGCCAGGCCCTGGGGAACAGGGGACACAACACAGCAGGGCACTGTAAGACCTCTTCTTCATAAGGCCATTACCGTCAAGAACAGAAGACACAACTGACTTTCCTAACACACAGCAACAGACACAGAGACTTAGACAAAATGAGAAGACAGAGAAATGTGTCCCAAATATAAAAGAACAGGACAAGGTCATGGCCAGAGATCTAAGCAAAACAGGTAAGTAACATGCCCAATGGACTATTTAAAGCAATGATCTTAAGGATACTCACTGGACTTGAAAAGAGAATGGAAGACATCAGTAAGACCCTTAACACAGAGATAAAAAAAAGAAACAATCAGAGATGAAGAGTGCAATAAGCGAGATATGACTGATGCAATGAATAGCAGGCTGGAAGAAGCAGAGGAATGAATTAATGACGTAGAAGACAGAGTAATGGAAAGTAAGCAAGAAGAACAAAAGAGAGAAAAAAGAACTATGCAAAGCAAGAACAGCCTTAGGGAAATCAGTGACTCCATCAAACATAAAAACATTCACATTATAGGAGTCCCAAAAGAAGAAGAGAGAGAAAATGGGGCAAAAAAATTATTTGAAGAGGTAATAGCTGGAAACTTCCCTAATGTGTAGAAGGAAACAGGTATTTAGATCCAGGAGGCACAAACCCCAACAAAATCAACAAAAGCAGATCCACACCAGACATGTTATAAAAAAAATGGCAAAATGTACCAATAAAGAAAAAAATTAAAAGCAGCAGGACAAAAGAAGACCGTTACATACAAGGGAAACCCCATAAGGCTATGGGGGGTTTTTTCAGCAGAAACTTTCCAAGCTAGGAGGGAGTGGCATGATATATATATATAAAGTGCTGAATGGGGCAAATCCAGAGCCAAGAATACTCTATCCAGCAAGACTATCATTCAGAAGAGGAGAGATAAAGAGTTTCCTGGACAGGGCCGCCTGGGTGGCTCAGTTGTCAAGCATCTGCCTTCGGCTCAGGTCATGATCCCAGGGTCCTGGGATCAAGTCCCGCATCGGGTTCCTTGCTCGGTGACAAGCCTGCTTCTCTCTCTCCCTCTGCTGCTCCCCCCGTTTGTGCTCTCTCTCTCTCACAAATAAATAAATAAAAATCTTTAAAAAAAAAAAAAAGTTTCCTGGACAAACGAAAACTAAAGGAGTTCATGACCACCAAGCCAGCCCTGAATAAAATATTAAAGGGGACTCTTTGAGTGGGAAGGAAGACCAAAAGTGACAGTATGAAGGAAGGAAACACAAATGTAGTAAAAATGAGTATTTTATAGAATATCAATCAAGAAACTCACAAAATAAAAGGATGTAAAATATGATAACATATACCTAAAACATGAAGAGGAGTAAAGAATGGGTTCAAACTTAAACAACCGTTGGCTTAATATAGACTGCTATATGCAGAAGATGTTATATTCAAACCTAATGATACCAACAAAAAGTACTAATAAATATGCAAAGAATAAAGAGAAAAAAATTCACATATATCACTAAAGAAAACCTGCAAAACCATGAGAAAGAAAAGATCAGAGAAAATCTTCAGAAACAACCACAAAACAGGTAGTAAAATGGCACTAAATACATATCTATCGATAATTACTTTGAATGTAAATGCAGTGTAAATCAACAGACACAGGGTAACAGAATGGATAAGAAAACAAGATTCATCTATATGCTGCTTACAAGAGACTCACTTTAGACCTAAATACACTTGTAGATCGAAAGGAAGGGAATAGAGAAACATTTATCACGCAAATGGATGCCAAAAGAAAGCCAGATTATATCAATATAATCACCACAATAGACTTTAAAACAAACACTATAATAAGAGACTAAAAATGATACTATACAATTATAAAGGGGACAATCCAACAAGAAGATATAACAATTGTAAATATTTATGCACACGGGAGTACCCAAATACATAAAACAGTTAATAACAAACATAAAGGACCTAATCGGTAATAACACCATAATAGTAGGGGACTTTACCACCCCACCTACATCAACAGACAGATAATCTAAAGAGAAAATCAACAAGGAAACAATGGCTTTGAATGACACACTGGATGAGATGGATTTAATAGATATATTCAGAACATTCCATCCTAAAAGAGCAGAATACACATTCTTTTCAAGTGCAGCTGGAACATTCTCCAGAAAAAATCAATACCAGCCTACAAAAGAAGCCTCAACAAACTCAAAAGGATAGAGTCATACCATGCATCTATTTTTGACTACAATGCTATAAAACTAGAAGTCAACCACAAGAAAAAAATCTGGAAAGAACACAAATACATGGAGGTTAAATAACATGCTACTAAACAATGAATGGGTCAAGCAGGAAATAAAATAAAAAAGTACAGAGAGACAAATGAAAATGAAAACACAATAGTTCAAAAGCTTTGGGATGCAGCAAAAGCAGTTCTAAGAGGGAAGTATATAACAATACATGCCTACCTCATGAAACAGATCTCAAACAACTTAATCTTACACCTAAAGAAGCTAGAAAGGGGTGCCTGGGTGGCTCTGTCATTAAGCGTCTGCCTTC